TCAATTTCTAAGCAATGCAGGCATTAGGTTCATTCCCTCCAGAATTTCATTACAGAACAGATGGCTTCTGCCTCTACATCTTACAGTAAATAAATTTATAACTGGAATATAAATTATAAAAATAATTTATAACTGGAATAGAATTTTGCAACTGTAAAAGAATGTAATTCTGAGTTTTGGTTAACTGATTCTTCATTTTCTACAACCACCCAAGGTAAGGCAATACTACAAAACACATAATCTTAAGATTCTCCAAATTTTTCATACCATTGCCAGTGCTTAAAAACAAAATAAATAGATAAGGCATACTCCTTGAACAGACCAGCCATTGGTGATGAAAGGAAAAGAGAGATAGAAAATACACAGACGTCATTCATTAATAATTTATAAAATGTTATAATTATACAGTGATATCCAGGTTTCTTAAACTTTCTGGGTTTTTTTGTTTGTTTGTTTAAGACATGGTCTAGCTCTGTTGCCCAAGCTAGAGTGCAGTGGCATGATCTTGGCTCACTGCAGTCTCCTGGGCTCAAGTGATCCTCCCACCTCAGCCTCCTGACTGCAGGCATGCATCACCATGCCTGACTTATTTTTGTATTTTTTTTGTAGAGACAGAGTTTCGCCATGTAGCCCAAGCTGATCTCTAACTTCTGAGCTCAAACGTTCCACCCTTGGCCTCCCAAAGTGCAGGGATTATAGACGTGATGAGCCACTATGCCCATCCTAAACTTCCTTACTACAAACCTGTTGCCACTTCTACCTGAAATTTCAATTTCTGTGGATATGAGTGGTTATCTATACTGCTTGATAATCAGTCTGAAAATAGTTGGTATACCTTACCAGTTCAGAGTGTACATTTCCTAGAAAAACCTTAAAGACTACTGCACTGGAAAGATTCATTAATAAAAATAAACATGTAATGCAATATAAAGATGAGTATGACTGAATTAAGACTTGTGGCAACTATAGGAGTCTCAAAGTAACCCTTGAATGTACCAGTTATCAATCACATAGACTGAAGAGAGTGGAGTGCCCTCTAGTGACTAAATGAGGGCTAATGACGGCACGGTGAGATAATCACACCAGCTTTTACAGAATTTTGGTTCAGTATTATTTCTATTACCTAATTATAAAGTAGTGAATTAACCACTTAGGTCTGGGTACCATCTGAGCCTATACTAATTTATTTTCAATCCTGTAACACCCCTTCCCCCCAGTACAAGCCTCTACTTCCCTTCACAGGCAGTTATTTATACATAAGGTATATACATTCACTCCCAATAGCGCTCTTCAAACAATTCCAAGATGGCCGCTACTCTCTCCATTCCACTGAAATAATTACAAGAACATCACTACTTTCTTACTTTCTGTTAAGACAACCTTTTTTTTTTTTTTTTTTTTTGGAGACAGAGTTTTCCTCTTGTTGCCCAGGCTGGATGGAGTGCAGTGGCACGATCCCAGCTCACCACCAACGTCTGCCTCCCGGGTTCAAGCGATTCTCCTGCCTCAGCCTTCCGAGTAGCTGGGATTACAGGCACCCACCACCATGCCCGGCTAATTTTGCATTTTTAGTAGAGATGGGGTTTCTCCGTGTTGGTCAGGCTGGTCTCCAACTCTTGACCTCAGATGATCCTGCCCGCCTCGGCCTCGTACGCCACCACGCCCAGCCAACGACAAATCCATTCTATGAAGTACATGATCCTTGGTAGCATTTTAAAAGGCCTACTTCTAACAAACCTTTCTTCATCCCCCTGTATCTTGCTTTGCCTTTCTCAGGTCCTGCCCTAGGAACACGCTCTCTCTCTTTCCTGAGCAAAGGCTACTGATCTCAGGAAGGCACAGTCCAGAAGTGACCACCAGTATTCTCAGCAGCGTATACACACTCCAGAGGAGCTGCCAGAAACACTGCTGTGATTCACATCTCAAGTCAACAGCCAACACTTTCAAAAATGTACACCAAATACCAGAAACGGTGTTGTTTTCTTTTTTGAGAAGGAGTCTTGCTCTGTCACCAGGCTGGAGTACAGTGGTGTGATCTTGGCTCACTGCAACCTCCTCCACCTCCCGGATTCAAGAATTCTCCTGCCTCAGCCTCCTGAGTAGCTGGGACTACAGGTGCGCGCCACCACGCCCAGCTAATTTTTGCATTTTTAGTAGAGACGGGGTTTCACCACGTTGGCCAGGATGGTCTCGATCTCCTGACCTCGTGATCTGCCCGCCTCGGCCTCCCAAAGTGCTGGGATTCCAGGCGTCAGCCACAGCGCCGGCCCAGGAACGGGTGTTTATTAGTGAAAAGAAAAAGTGTTTGTCTTTGGTGGAGCTGGAGGCACACAACATACAGTCAGTTATGCGAGGCTTCACGACAGGGTTATGATCTGAGAAAGGCATCCTTGGGCGATTTTGTACGTCAGAGTGAACATTCACAAGCCTACAGGGTATGGCCTACTTACATACCTGGGCTTTAGGATACAGCCTATAGTTCCCAGGCTACAAACCTATACAGCATTTTACTGTACTGTATACTGTAGGCAACTGTAACAAAATGGTGTATATCTAATCCTGAGAGGTCAGGAGTTCGAGACCAGCCTGCTCAACATGGTGAAATGGCATCTCTACTAAAAATACAAAAATTAGCCGGGTGTGGTGGCAGGTGCCTGTAATTCCAGCTTCTTGGGAGGCTGACGCAGCAGAATCACTTGAACCCAGGGGACAGAGGTTGCAGTGAGCCAAGATCGCGCCACTGCACTCCAGACTGAGAGACAGAGCGAGACTCCATCTCAAAAAAAAAAAAAAAAAAAAAAATTTCAATGAGGCCCTTAGAATTGAGCTCAAATCTGGATTCCCAACCAATGCTCCATACAGACATCAGTTTAGGAGAGTTTTTCTTGTTTTCATGTACGTAATACAAGGGTAACTAGATTCTGTCACTGAAATGCTGCTGTGTCTCCTAAGGTGGTGATGTTGAAAAACTACAAGAATAGATCTGAACTTCACCGGGCTCACATCCCAGGTGTGATAAGTGGGTAAGGATCTGGCTGCATCAAGCATCTTTTGGTGAAAAAACTGTTAGGAAATTTGCTTTCAAATAACAGTAAGGTTAGGAGGAAGTACTTCCAGATGGTCTTCAATGGCTACTGTTATCTGCCAAAAACCTTAATCATGTGGGGTGGCCAAATTCAGTTATCTCAGTTTGTAAAACTTATCAATGCAAACTACTATCAGGAAACACATCAGCAAAATTTCGGATTGGCAATCGTTATCACAAACACAAATGTCCACACTACGTACGGTTCAACTCTACGTATCAGCCTAGCCTGGCAGAGAAATAGCTCCAAATCTTCTTTTCCATCAGCTGTTTTCTGAGGAGGAAAAGAGCTACTAACTCAGAAAACCTAAAAACAACTACCTGACCATCACCAAAAAAAATGTTCGATGCATCCAAATCCTTACCCACTTAGCACCATTGAGATGAAGGTTAAATGAGAAAGTATAGTCCAGACCTCAAGAAACTCAGACCTAGATCTGTCCCTGTCACTCAGTTGGCTTTAAAAGGTCACTTCCTTTTTTTCCCCCAATACCTGAACTGCTGTAAAAAGCATGGAAACTTGTATCAGTCACCAATGTAAGGAAGTCTTGATGCATCTTTGTGTGTGTGTGTGTGAGATGGAGTCTCGCTCTGTCACCCAGGCTGGAGTGCAATGGCGCTATCTCAGCTCACTGCAACCTCCACTTCCTGGGTTCTAGCGATTCTCCTGCCTCAGCCTCCTGAGTAGCTGAATTACAGGCGCGCGCCACCACACCCGGCTAATTTTTTTGTCTTTTTAGTAGGGACAGGGTTTCACCATGTTGGTCGGGCTGGTCTCGAACTCATGACCTCGTGATCTGCCTACCTCAGTCTCCCAAAGTGCTGGGATTACAGGCGTGAGCCACCGCGCCTGGCAGATGCATCTTACAAAACAATACATACTAGTAAATTTAAGTTAGCCTGCAAACACTCAGAGCAGAAAATACGACTGTGGTCTTTGCATCTAGAAATGTACTACACGAAATATTTTTAAAATTCTACTTCTCTTCTTCTACTCTTATTTAATACCACTACAATGTTGTCTATCCTTAAGTCATTGGTTTAACAATTAATAGTCAGTTAACAGATTATCATATAGTCTAACAATAACTTTCAACAAACTAGGAGAAAGTGACCATTAGTTTAGTATAGGATAAGAACACCTAGATTCTAACCAGTATTCGGTGGGGACTCAAGTAGAGAACCACGAAAATAGACGATCTTGAAAATTCTCCTTAGCCTTCTTAAAACATTGATGTGTATAATACATTCTCAATTAAAATGTCCAAAAAATATATAATTCTCCTGCCTCAGCCTCCTGGATAGCTGGGATTACAGGCGTGCCACCACGCCCGGCTAATTTTCGTATTTTTAGTAGAGACAGGGTTTCACCATGTTGGCCAGGCTGGTATCAAACTCCTGACCTCTCAGGTGATCCACCCACCTCAGCCTCCTAAAGTACTGGGATTGCAGGCGTGAGCCACCACACCCAGCCTGAAACTATTATTTTTAATAGCAATAGGTCTTAGACATTAGAGATTCAAGGAGAACACAAAAACTCTTCGATGATCCAATTCAGTACAAAGGATACTGAATACAGCCATTTCTCCTGCTCCTTAAAAAATAATTTCATTTCAGATTGCCAAAATACTTGTGTTTTTGCTTTGTTTTGTTTTGAGATGGAGTCTCACTCTGTCACCCAGGCTGGAGTGCAATGGTGTGGTCTCAGCTTACTGCAACCTCTGCCTCCTGAGTTCAACTGATTCTCCTGCCTCAGCCTCCTGAGTAGCTGGGACTACAGGCGCGTGCCACCACACCCATTCCCAAAGTGCTAGGATTACAGGCGTGAGCCACCGCGCCCAGCCTGCCAAAATAGGTTTTAATTCAATGTATTAAAAGAGCTCCATTTTGAAGATGTCAGTCCCATTATACTTACTAAAGTGTATCTGGAGGGCCAATAATAAGGACTTCCCATCGGTAGAGATCATTGTCATCTATTAAACCTGCAGAAAAGCCTTCCACTGGATTTTTGTTGAGTTCTGTGGAAAAAGCAAAGTTTAATCAATACATTTAAGCACAAAATTTTCATCCAATAGATAAATTACAGAACTTGAGCATACATGTTATATATAAGTTTTAAACCATCAAACAGATATACCTTGCCAGGCAAGATGCTCCTTGATGGCCAAAATATTTTCATGTCTATACTGTAAGAAAGCCCTGGGTAAAGCAAACTCTTCAGAAGATCAGCTTCTACTGGTGTCCAGCCAGGCTCTTGTCATTCTGGGTGGCCCTACAGTGGTCTTTTAAGGAAGCTTATTAAAATGCAGATATCCAGGCCCATCCTCCAGAAATCAAATCAAGTTGGCAATTCTTAAGCTGCTGTCTTTAGGGTATGCTTTCAGAGTGTCTAATCATACCTTTTCATTGGAATATACTGAGCTTAATAACTTTCATTTGTACTAACATTTGTACTCCTATTTGACATGTCCCTGTAGTCGTGGGGACCTGCTCCTACAGTGCTCCTGTGTGCCCATCCATCTCTGAGCACAAGGAGAGCAGAGGTCCCATAAGTCTCATCTGTGTATGTTGAGCCTCTGAGAGCCACAGCCTCTGGGACAGAGGATTAGCTTAAGAGTAGTAGCTAGAGCATACAGGAATGGCTGTGGCATCACGAGGTTCTTCTCTTCTAAAGAGAGCGCCGTGGCACGGAGAAAGAATGACAGGGTGGGAAACGAGAGGCGAGGAACTAGCGAGGTGGGGGCACACAAGCCAAGACAGGGACCTTAAGGAGCAGGTGAGCAGGGGTGCAGGGCCCAAAATGTTTCCAGAGACACCAGACTTAATAAAGTACTGGCCTCCTAATGGTGAGCAGACCATATGAGAAATTTTTAAACAGTTTAATGAGGTATAACTGACATTCGGTGAACTGCACAGACTTAAATTACACAATTTGGCCAGGCACAGTGGCTCACACCTGTAATCCCAGCACTTTGGGAGGCCGAAGCAGGTGGACCACCTGAGGTCGAGAGTTTGAGACCGGCCTATTAACATGGAGAAACCCCGTCTCTACTAAAAATACAAAATTAGCCAGGTGTAGTGGCGCATGCCGGTAATTCCAGCTACTCAGGAGGCTGAGGCAGAAGAATTGCTTGAACCTGGGAAGCAGAGGTTGGGGTGAGCTGAGATCACACCATTGCATTCCAGCCTGGGCAACAAGAGCAAAACTCTGTCTCAAAAAAAAAAAAAAAAAAATAAAATTAAATAAATAAATAAAAATTTAAAAATTAGCTGGGCATGGTGGCATGCGCCTATAATCCCAGTTACTCAGAAGGCTGAGGCAGGAGAACTGCTTGAACCTGGGAGGCAAATGTTGCATTGAGCCAAGATCACGCCATTCATTGCACTCCAGCCTGGCTGACAGAGCAAGACTCCATCTCAAAAACAAAAACAAAAACAAAAAACAATTTAATAAGTACTGATATATGTATACACCAGAGGAACCAACACAACAATCACAATAGTGAATGCACGTATCAATCACCCACAAAATTATCACGTTTTACCTGCCAGTGGAATTGGGTACTCATTGGCTCAAATTGGAAAGTGGGAACAAAGAACATGCAAGAGTAGAGTGGTTTGAAAAGGACTTGGTGGGAGTCTCAACAGGTGTGTAATTCTCGTGTACTACCTGCCATCATTCTCACGCAGCTTTGCCTAAGGATGAAACACAGTATAATACAGCTCAGAGTGCTACCAACGACTGAACCAATGTGTAGGTAACTGAGGAGATATTAATTTTGGGGGTAATCAGAGATGGTATTATTTCAACGACTAGGATTTAACAACATGCCAGCAAAATATGAGAAAGTCAACAGTGAAAATTTATTCTTTAGGCCGGGCGTGGTGGCTCACACCTGTAATCTCAACACTTTCAGGAGGCCAAGGAGGGTGGATCACTTGAGGTCAGGAGTTCAAGACCAGCCTGGCCAACGTGGTGAAACCCTGTCTTTAGTAAAAATACACAAATTGGCCAGGCATGGAGGTGGACACCTGTAATTTCACCTACTCAGGAGGCTGAGGCAGGAGGATCACTTGACCTGGGAGGCAGAGGCTGCACTGAGCCGAGACCATGCCACTGTACTCTAGCCTAGGTGACAAAGCGAGACTCTGTCTCAAAAATAAAAATAAAAACTTTATGTTTAAACATGGAAGTGCTTCTTTTCTTGAAATTTGAGGGGAGATATGTATAAGTCTAATATTTTTGCATAACAGGCAAACTAGACTTTTACAAATAGTTAAAATCAGCGCTGTATTTCAATACACAAGAAAGGTATTTTTACTTTAAAGTGGCTAATCTAAAATACTTTTTAAAGATATTGAAAGTGCAAACACATTAAGATGGGAATAGCATTTTCAGTTACTTTGTTTATGCATGCATATGTGTACTGAGTGCCAACTATGTTGCAGACATTCTAGTAAAACAGAAAGTCACACTTTCCTGTCGACTGAGGGATGGAGTGGAGCACACACAAATGCGCTGTGAGGAGTTATTTTCTACATGAGTGATCTCATTTCCAACCTTTTTCTAGATAAACACCATTACATTACTTGGGCCATTTTCTGCAACACTGTACGCAAGAGTCTTGTGAAAGATTCTATAATATATCCAGAAATTACCTAGTTGTTGCATTTTCCACCAGAAGTCCAGGGTTTATAAACATAGGTGAGTAAGCTCTGAACTTATTTATTACAAAATTACATGGTCAAAATTACCCTTGAAAATTTCCTTACACTTTCCATATGATACTCAAAAGTATATCATTGCTTCTTACTCTTGTCAAAACCCCCAAGTTCTTGAAATCTTTTGCCCATTCTTTCCGTGCATCTCTTCTGCAGGCCTAATTGTGTCCTTTGCTTGTGGAAGTAAATACAAAAGCAATGCTGAAAAATGTCCAACGCCTCACTTTTTTCATGGCTTCTGCCCCCAGCATGACTCTTCCTAGGTCTAGATGCATGAATATTTAACAGGCTTAATCCACTTAAAGCGATAGAACCGTACCATACCTTCATGAATGCTTCCTTCAAGGTCCCTATCAATACTAGCCCCTTCCATGAAGTCTTCCCTAAATAATTTATCAAATAATCTTTTGGCTTCTGCTAAATTCCTATTGATTGTACTTCAGTCCGTCTACATCTTCTGGCACTTGACCAACATCGGCTTCTGATCTCCAGAGAAGTAAACAGGCAATTACAATGTGCTCCAACAACAGTACAAGAATTTGAGGGCACACAAAAAAGAAAGGCACATAACATAATCATGAGGAATAAGAAAAGGCTTCTACAAAGAAAAGAAATAAAGGATTTGGGTGAGGAAATTCAAGGTTTAGAATCTGAACCTCTACTTTAGGTAGAGGAGCATGTACAAAAACTTGAAATAGGGCAATCAGTATATGACTGGAACGGCGGGGGGCAGGGGAGCAGCTGAAACTAAACAGAATGTCAAAAGCTGGACAGCAAAGGGCCTTTGTAAGCCCTGCATGCTTGGACTTTATCCAGAGGGCAATGATAAGCCTTTGAAGGGTGGTTCTTTTTTTCTTTTTCTTTTAAACAATGGGGTGACCTCATGAGATTTACATTTGCAAAAACCAATCTTGTAGTATGTAGAAGATTGTGTAAATAAGGCATGATGAGGACAAAGAAACAAAAAGCAAGCAATTCAAGTAATCCTGAAAAGCGAACCTCAAGTATATAGCCGAGGAAACAATGAAGAAAACAGGGATATTTAGAAGACAGAATCAATCACCCTAACCTGGTGATGTTAAAGAAGTAGGGCTTAAAGTAGTAAATCAAAAAAGACATGAGCTGGGCGTGGTGGCTCATGCCTGTAATCCCAACACTTTGGGAGGCTGATGTGGGCAGATGGTTTGAGCCCAGGAGTTTGATGCAACATGGCAAAACCTTGTCTCTACGAAGAAAAAAAAAAAGAAAAAAAGTAGCCAGGCATGGTGGTGTGCACCTACAGACCCAGCTACTCACGGAGGCTGAGGTGGGAAGATGAGATCAGGAGGCGGAGGTTGCCATGACCTGAGATGACACCAGGGCACTCCAGCCTGGGCAACAGAGCCAGATCCTGTCTCAGTTTAAAAAATAAACATGTATTTTTTTTTTTTCTAAAAGGAAAATGACATATGATGAAAAAGTTGAGCAGAGTTACCATATGACCCAGCAATTCCACTTCTAGGTATATACCTAACATCTGTCCACACAGAAAGTTGTACATGAATGTCTGTAGCAGCATTTGTTGTAATGATCAAAAGGCAGAAACTCAAACATCCATCGACAAATGAATAAACTGCAGTATATACATACAATGAAATATTATTCAGCCATAGAAAGAAATGAAGTACTAATATATGAAGCTCAGTAACATCAGGCTAAGGTAGAGAAGCCGGACATATAAGGTCACACATTATACAACTTATTTTATATGATATATCCAGAATAGGCAAATCCAGAGAGACAGAAAGTAGATTACACAATGAGAGAAGGGAGAAATGGGGCATAATTACTTAAGGGGTATAGGGGTGATTAAATGGTGTGATGAAAAAGTTTTAAAACTAGAGAGAGCTGGTGGTTGGTTGTACAACATTGTGAATACACTAAATACCACTGAGTGGTACACTTTAACACCGTTACCGATAATGTGAATTCCCCCCCGCCGGCTTTTTTTTGACACCAGATTTCCATGCAAGGCTAGAAATCTGTTCATTCACTGAAATGAGAAACATAGGCGGTGGTACTGGTTTTCCAGGAGAGGGGAAGAAATGGTGATGGGCTTAGTATTAAATGCCTTTTGTTAGGGACAAAAAACACATTGTCTTAAAAATAAATCTAGCTGGGCACAGTGGCTCACATCTGTAATCCCAGCACTTTGGGAGGCTGAGGCGGGAGGATCATCTGAGGTCAGGAGTTTGAAACCAGCCTGGCCAACATGGTAAAACCCCATCTCCAGTGAAAATACAAAAATTAGCCAGGC